CATCGTCAAGGAGTTTTCCGAGTTTATTTTGAAACGTCTTGATAATAAGAGTCCCATCGTTAAGCAGAAGGTATTAAAATGTTGTTACATTTTTGGGAAATTATTCGTTTTTGTAGATGTTGTTGCATGTGGTGGGAATTGAGTTTTTTTTTTTTTTGCTGGTTAGTGTCACTTGTGAGATTAGGATTATAGACTAGAAGAGTTGATAGGGAAGTTTAGGATGTTGTTATGATGATTCTTGTAATTGTGAATTGTGGCCCTGTTCGTTTACCTATGGCGTGACATGCAATCAGTTTTAGGTCGCAAGTTGTTGTTCGTTTTGCTGTCGCGCAATCTGTGACCTGCGATTGATCGCAGGTCGCGCAATCTGCGACCTGCGATTGATCAAAGGTCGCTTATTGTTCGTTTTGATGTCGCACGATTGATCAGGCAACCAGTCGCAGGTTTCAATTCAAATCACCCGAAAAATAACGATTAGAAATTAAGAAAATTTAGCTCGCGCGAGTGGTCACAGGTTTTAGTCACAGGTTGCAGGTCGTGCGAGACGTAAACGAACTTAGTTTTAGTCGCAGGTCGCGCATTACTAAACGAAGGCCTTCCCTTTTTCTCTGTTTTGATTGGCTAAGCTGATGGTTGACTGTTTAAATGGTGTTCTTTTGTGATATCATTTGTCTCCATGATGAATGTTTCATGTTGAGATTGAGTTAGTTTTCTGGTTGGTGTCTCTTTTGGAGATTATGATTATAGCTTATAGTTGATTGGGAAACGTAGGATTTTTGGTGAGATCGTTGGTTTCCATGAAGATTTTGATTGAGAATGTTGCATGTGGGTATTGATTTAGGTTGCTAGAGATTAGGATTTGGTTCTTTATTCGTTTGGTTATTGCCTAGAGTTGATAGGGAATAGATTCTGGTTTAAATCTCTCTTGGAACTGTTTATGCTGATTCTGGTTGTTTGTTTGTACACAGGCTCTTAGGCTGATAAAGTATGCCGTGGGGAAGTCTGGCTCAGAGTTTAGAAGAGAAATGCAAAGGAACTCTGTGGCAGTTCGCAATTTGTTTCATTATAAGGGGTATCCAGATCCTTTAAAAGGGGATGCACTTAATAAGGCTGTACGAGATACTGCTCACGAGACAATCTCTGCTATATTCTCGGAAGAGAATGGTAGTAAACCAGCTGCTCCTGAAAGCAGCATCAACAGACGCATAGAAGGATTCGGGAATACTAACTTCCAGGTGCCTTCTAATGATAATAAGTCGTTCCTGAGTGAGGTGGTTGGCATGGGAAGTGCATCGATAAAGCAAGGAATCAGTAGTTTTGCTCAAGGTCATTTGTCTAATAAGAATGAGAGTGGAAGCAGCAACTACAGAGGTCCGAATCTCCACAGATCCTTAACTTTGGAAAGTGAGAACTCGGGTAGATATGATCCGGTTAAGCTGGGGAGTGATGGTAAATATGGGGCGTCTAAGAACACGAGTGGTGGATCTTGGGGGCACGTTTCTGGAGAGGCAAGTGAAAGTTCGGGTTCAGTTCGTCTTGAGAGCAAAACCCGTGAGGAAAAGCTACTGGAAACCGTTGTTACATCTGGTGGTGTACGCCTGCAGCCAACTCGGGATGCACTTCATGTATTCATTTTAGAGGCTGCGAAAATGGACACTGTTGCTTTAAGCATTGCTCTCGAGGGGAAGCTCCAGTCTCCAATGTGGCAGGTATGTTTATGATATAAATGCAAATGTGCGGTTTTTATTGATTATCATTTGTATTATCCTTCCCTGGCTTGTTCCTTCTGTAGTATTAAAAAGGTCTTCGCACGTTTGTACTTAATAATTCATTTTGAATTTTGTTTGGTAGGTTCGAATGAAAGCCTTATGTGTCCTTGAGGCCATTTTGAGGAAGAAGGAAGATGGTAACTTTTCAATTGTACACACTTATTTTAGTGAAAACAGAGATGTCATACAGAAATGCGCAGATTCTCCTCAGTCTTCTCTTCGGGAGAAGGCTAACAAGGTAAGATTATCCTTGTTGCAAGCATTCACAAAGCTCTCGTTTTTGGTATTATGTTCATATGATGGTTAACTCAAAATACTGGCTTTGTGTAGGTTCTGAGCCTTGTAAATGGTGGACAGTCTAAGGGGTTTATGACCAGCTCAGAGAATACGGTGAAGCAAGAGACTGTTGTTGATTTACCTGACTTGATCGACACAGGTGATTCAGATTATACAGCAGAAGATACTTTGAACATGCCAAATGCTATTAATACTGGCAGTACAGTGACGACAACAGCTCCATTGATGGATGACGATTGGTTTGGGGATAGCACTGACACTGGGTTGATTAGCAGTGAGAAGAAAAATGATGATGACCCTTTTGCAGATGTATCATTTCATCCTAATGATGAAAAAGAAAGTGCAGATGACCTCTTCTCTGGAATGACTGTTGGGGAAAAGCCAGCTAATGGTGGTAATCAAGTGCCTGAGCTGTTTGATATGTTTGGTTCAACTGCAACACTTGAAGCAGAGCCCAAAGATTCTAAAAGCATAAATGATCTGATGGGAAGCTTCTCCATTAACGAAACCAACTCAAGTCAGATAGGCTCTTCCTCAAACACCCTTCCAGAGAATTTATTTGCAATGCCGAGCACCACCAGCCACCAAACACCGGAAAATCCTGTTGGAGGCATTCTTGGCTCACAAAGTTCTGGGTTTCTTCAAAACCCATTGGTTCCTGGGGGTGTCATGCCCTTCAATTTCCCTCCTGGGATGATGATGAATCCAGCCTTTGCGTCTCAACCTTTGAATTACGCTGCCATGGCAAGCTTGCTAGCTCAGCAGCAGCAGTACCTTGGTAACATATCCAACTTCCAGCAGTTTGGCAACATGAACGCTCAGGGCAGTGGTAATGGTCTCCCTATGGGTACTAGCGGAGGAAGTCAATCAGCATTCCCTGATATATTCCAGCCAAGTTTTGGTAATCAAGCTCCAACCTCAACAATGAATGGTCCCAAAAAAGAAGATACCAGAGCCTTTGACTTCATCTCCGTAAGTTTTGCAATCGTGCTCCTGATTCTTGACTTAGTCAATGTAGAGCTAGTTTGTAGCTTTCTTTTCAACCACCTTAGTCTGATTATCATGTACTGTGATAGAGCAACAACATATATGTTCATGCTGTGCAGGATCATGTTGCATCTGCCCGCGACACAAAGAGAGTATCTTGATGCTTTGCTAATACCCGGTGTTAAGTGTTATTTAATGAGATGTGGACACAAGAGGAGGAGGCTGAAACTTTTATCTATGAGAGGTTATAAGACTTCAGGGGAGGTTTACTTCATCTGGAAAAAAAAGAGAAGGAGAATCTGATATGGTAAGCTTTTGGCTTTCTTTTCTTCCTTGTTTGTCTTCGTTGTCTTATGTTTGGAGTCATTGTTCTTTGGAATGAACATGTAGTTTTAGAACTGCTTTTGTTTTTCACCTGTTTGATTCTGGATGTGTTTCTTTTGTCGATTTGCTATATATATCTGAAGAGACTGTCTGTGTATCGAAATAGACAAGAAAGGAAATAAAACTAAGGTTACAAAGTGTCTTTCCGTTACACTGTAATGAAGCATGAGAGTTTATTTTCAAGTCATATCCAGTTTTTATTTATTTATTTTTAAATCGATATCTAATCTAGTAGCTTCTTACTCACCCTAGTTTTCAGTTAACATTCCTGACTCTTCCTGTCGATGGCCAACTTAATCATTACACTATCTCCTAACTGTATAGTTTCTAACACGTTTAGGTCTTTCTTTTGGGGAAAGTAGGTTCGGTCTATTATGAGTCAGCTTTGCATGTTATGCCTCGTTTGTTTCATTTAGTTTTTGGCGTTACATAAGTTTATGAATGCTTAGAGTAGGACCACAGTATTCCATTTGTAACAAATCTTTAACTGATGTTGTTGATAAGAGTGCAACTTTTATGATACTTTCTTCTACCAACGGTAAAGATAGAAAAGAATGAAAAAGTGGTTGAAAGTTACTTTTATTTGGTTGAACAAAAAAAAAGTTACTTTTATTTTTATTTTAATAAATGAGTAACGGAAATGATGAATTGACGTCTTCAACATTTAAATTCTATATTATTTATTATTGATATAAAAAATAGATAATACAAAGTACCCTCAACGGGAAGATTGATAGTGACACACGTGAGTAACTTTAGATTCTAGTCTCTCTGAAAGAGGAAACGATAGCATTTAGATGATCATTACAAAGTTAGAAACTTCACTAGTTCTGTGAATCTTGATTTTCTTGTTTCTTTAACCTTTTTCTGTTCTGTGAATCTTTGGTATTTCCTTCTTGAATATTTTCTATTATGTTCCTAAATAGTTTGGTTAAAGAATGATAAATCTCTAAGACTGAAACAAAAGGTAGATACAGAAGTAAAAAGTTATGTTACACAAAAAAATATCTTGATGGTAAGTGAAAGATGGGTAGGCTAAGTGTCACTTAAAATGGAGCGTCTAGTTTCACTAGTCAAATTTGGTATTTTATTTTCTTTGATAGTTTGTCACATTTCCACCAAAATTAATAAAATCTTCAAAGTAAGAACTAGATAAGCAATTCTAGTCTACTTGTTGACAAAAAAACAAGAATGGTCTAAAATATATCCACTAATCAAATCTTACCATTGACTCAGTTATCTATACTATTGAAACACAACTAATTATGTATATTTGTTTTTTTTTTCCTTTTTAACAAAAAGAAAACTAATTCACTATGATTTTATATTTGAATAAAACATGAATTTTTTCTCTTTGCTGACATAATTATTTTTAATTATTTTGCATTTTTATCTACGGTTACAATAGTTATTAATTATTCTCATATACCAGAAAACGTGTTAAGTTTTTTTTTTTAAGTATAACGAACAAAAAGGAGAAAAAAAAAAGGAACCTAGGAATTGAACATCATGTGCAGTCTATAAATACATATCTCACATCCACAAGACACACAAAACAAATTACTCTCTCTCTCAAACTACTACAAGAGATGACGTCATCCAACAGTTCTTCATCACCAACATCATCTTCTTCGGACCAATCTGATGTAACTACAACAACAACAACAAGCACCCACTTGTCGGAAACTTCACCAAGAAACAACAAAAGAAAGAGAAGCAGCAGAGATTCTTCATCTTCTTCTTCTTCCTCTTCATCTTCTTCTAAGCTCACGCATCCTGTTTACAGAGGTGTACGGATGAGAAGCTGGGGCAAATGGGTCTCCGAGATCCGGCAGCCACGTAAAAAGACTCGAATCTGGCTCGGCACATTCGCCACCGCAGACATGGCGGCGCGTGCTCACGACGTCGCTGCTCTCGCCATCAAAGGCTCCTCCGCCGTCATCAACTTCCCGGAGCTAGCCTCTATCCTCCCCCGTCCGGCGTCATCTTCGCCGCAGGATATCCAAGCAGCTGCTGCTGAAGCCGCCGCCATGGTGGTCGTGGACGGTGAAGCTTCAAAGACAGAGGTGGTGGAGGAAGCGCCACCGTCGCCGCCGGAATCATCTAAGGAGGAGGAGGAGGAGAGTTTGGAGGAGATTGTGGAGTTGCCTAACATTGAAGAAGGGATGGTGAAGTCACATGCTGATCTGGATTATTCTGAGCCGTTGGATTGTTGGATGTATCCACCTCCTCCGGGCATGGATCTCTATGAAGAGTTCTTGGAGTTGGACTTCTTGGAGTTATGGAGCTTTCCTAACACGGAACTGATTAATCCCTAATTAGGTTTAATTTGTAAGTTGCATTTCATGTATTGATAAGTACATTTGTGTTGTCTTTTATTTGTACGGATACGTAGTATAGGAATTTGTAGTGGTAGTATATGTGTTGTAACATACGGTACCAAGACTAGTATACAGTTATAGAAATGAATTTATATACTTATATTTTATATTTGTTTCTTGTCATACAATTATTGTAGCTTGGTAAAAGAAAACAATCGTTACGCAATGTTCTTGTGTGTTACGAATTAACAAAGCCACAACATGTTCTTGTGTTCTTTTTTAACCTATAGATTTTAGAAGAGTCAATGGCTAGTCTTTGTTTTCCTCAACAGTCAAGTCTTCTCCAATACTCACATGGCAAACTTAAAAGAGCTCAGATTTTTAAAATATACTCCCTCCGTTTTATATTAAGTGTCATTGTAGAGAATTTTTTGTGTTACAAAATAAGTGTTGTTTTCAGTTTTCAATGTAAAATTTATTAATTTTATTATGTAATTTATTTTTCTATTGGTTAAAATATGGTTAGGTGTATGGGTAATTGTGTTTTTATATATGAAATATGTAAAATTAATTGTTTCCTTAATCCGTATGTATAGCTGTAGAGTGACACTTATACTGAAACAGAGGGAGTATCTGATAAGTACAAGATTGCAGATTATTATCTCATTTTATAAGATATGGATGCAAAACATTTATATTATAGTTAGGTGATTCTAAGATTTTAGGTTGTAACATATACGTTTCTAATATTAAACACGCTAAAACAATACTAATGAGGTGCACCGGCCACTATTTCTTTTCACTAATATTAGATTTTGGCTTTTTTTATATATTTTATCATCATTCCATATCTTCAAAGATCAAACAGTTGTAAACCAAAATTCATACCAAATAATATGACGATTTCTTTTGTATCGACCAACAGAACTAAATCATCCATCTTATTATTTCATATTACAAGTCAACTCTTTTCTTTGATTTGGTATGTTCTAGATTGAGATTCATTTGTTAAAACAAATATAATGACATGATCTTCGTTAATAAGTAGAAAACAACAGAAAACACGCACATGGATATTTATAACTAGCTGGACTTACATTTTAAATTTTATATTTACATTTTAAATTTTATATTCACATCTCTTTATGTGAAGTTGTCAACGTGTTAGCAATCTTGTTAAACACGAGTGTTGTATAGTATTTGAGCGTGTTTATTTTTTTGCTTAAACAAATAAATTTAATCGATAATGAGAAGAAGGTGGTGGCGTGGGAAGTAAGAACGATGAACAGATAAATAGGAGAGTCAAATAATGCCGTTGTGGACTTTTGTTTGTTCTGTCAATTTCTTTTGACGAGTTCATATCAATTTTACCGTTGTACAAAAATAGTTTTGGACACTTGATACGAGACAAGAACACAACGGATGGAAGCGTGTGGAAATTTTTTACACAGAGTAATAAAACATAAAAAGATTTGCTTAGTTGTCTAGTGCTTAATTACTGTTTGATATCTATTTGATATGATGTAATAAATGATTGTATACCAATATGTGATTCTATACTATAAAACAACTAGGCATGTAAGAATTTCAAATAATAAAATAAAATTTGGGTAGGGTATCCTATTTTATTTTAGTATAAAAGAATTGGTTGGGTACAATAATAGAGATTAAGTCATTAAGGTAGCTAATTAACCAATGAGGAGGTTTAAGTAAATAATTTGGTAATGTGTAAATATCATATAGTTGTCGAATCTTGTAAGTCAAATGTTATCTACCCTATAATATAATCTACTTGTTTTATGTAAATCGACCAACCTAGGACTCTTGGTTTGGTTACTAATCAATTTGCAATTCCACCTAAACAAGTGCCCAAAAAATCAAATACATAAGAAAATGTGTCATTTTTCATTACCTTTTAGCCCATCCTTTTTATTTTATACTGCAGTTTATAATCCCATGCTTTACATAACTGGTTCATGTCACATGTTAGAAAGATCCATGATTATTTTTTTTTTCAAAATTATTTAAAAACTGAAATTTCCTTCAAAACTGAAAAAATGATTTTTCTTTTTTTATTGAAGCTCAAAACATTTTCACATGTAACTAAGGTTACATCAAGGTCTAGGTGTACCACAATCATTTTATGAACTGTTTCTAGCGGTCGTCACGTCCAGTTTCATTACGTTCTCTTGGAGCTGGAGCCGTTTAATTTTCCTGAGTTCAAGAATGCTTGGTGGCATTGGTTTAATGGAACCATAGAGCTCAACAAGAGTGAAGAACTCTTGTTTTGAAAGACTTTTCTTCTGAACCAGTTTCTCTACCACCTCGTCCATAAGCGTCCGGTTCTTTTGGAGAATCTGGTGTATGCATTTTGTAAATCACACTTGAACATAACCAATATAAAAGGATACAAAGTACTCAATTTAGATTGGTCTTTACCTCTTTAGCACGGTCGTAACACATGTTCAATATCCGCAATGCCTCTACATCAATATCCTGCAAATCAATCCAAGTAATGAGATGATGATATTCGTTTCAAAGACAATTCAAGATTATGGCCTTACGTTGATTCGATCAGCCATCCAGAAGTTGTTCAAACCGTGATGTTTCTCAGAGAGACCACCAAGAACCAGTGATCTAGCAGCTGACCTTGCATTATCCGATGTTTCAGACCATATGGTACTTAACTGAAACCAATCATTAGCAAAGATGTTTTTAAAGGTAAAGGCCATATGGTAATTTACTGTATCATGGGGTTAAAAGGAGAAAACATGTTTCTCACCTGATCTTCACCGTACCAAAGTTCATCAGCAGCACGAGGTGCTAACTGAACAGTTATGTGATCCAAGAGAGATTGTCGGCTGCATATAGTAGACCACAAAGGAGATAAAGATCGTAAAGACCACATGTGTATTCAAGAAATCAAATATGTTTTCATTAAAGGCACAGACCTAAGCATGCCTTCTTTGAATTTGATGTGATCCATCTTCACCCGGACATAACCCAATTCTCTACCAGCTCTAGGGTTGATTGTCAGCTGATCAAAGTCAATTGAAATGTCAGTCAAAAACGAAGCTAAGAGAGTTTGAAAGGAACAGAAAAAAGAATTTAAGAAACCTACAAATTCGATATTCTTCAGATCAGGAAAGTTCACTGCCACAACAGCCATAGCAGCTTCGTTTATAGCAACCTGTCTCCAAGTCTCAGAGCTCCTATCTTTTCTATCTAACATTCCTCTTTCTTCTATTTGTGCAGCTTGAAGCAAATCATCTGTTGTTAACTGCATTACAGAGAATATATAAGCCTAAGCTGCTTCCTCTTGAGCATAATATCAAAGCACTAAACCCAATTCACACACACTATATTACAATATACTACGTCATCCTATCATTTGAAACCAAAACCATCCAAAGGATCCTACCTCTGTTCTTCCATCACGCATCATATTGATAGCAGCTATCTCAACGATATTAGCAAGCTCTGCTCCAACCATGCCATCTGTCATGCTAGCAACTGCCATATAGTCCAAATCTTCCGCCATCGGCTTCTTACGAGCATGAACCTAAAACAAACAAACAAAAGAAAGATATAGCTTTTGACCGAAGCACAAACCTTCACTTTAAGGAATAACTTTACAGACACGAAGCCGTTACCTGAAGAATTTCCATCCGTCCGATAAGACCAGGCTTGGGAATGAAAATCTTACGGTCGAACCTTCCAGGCCTCACAAGAGCAGGATCTAGAATGTCTGGTCTATTTGTGGAAGCGATGGTAATGACCTCTCCTCTTCCTTCAAAACCATCTAAAGAAACAAGGAGCTGACACAAACAAAAAACGATTTAACATTTTTAATCCCACAAAACCACACCATTTAATAATGTGTCAGGAACCTGATTAAGAGTGGCATCCCTTTCTTGTCCTCCAGAGCCCTTTATTAACCCACGCTCTCTTCCAACAGCATCCAATTCATCAATGAAAACCACAGATGGAGCCTGCAGTGAGACCACCTTTAAAATTAGCATCCAGTAACAGACTGAATCCTAACTAGACAGTCAAAATCATCAGAAAAGCAGCAAATAGGTATTTGTTTTAGTGATCTAATAGATGCAGTTAAGCTCCACACTCAACACATGCAAGCAAAGTTACAGGTACATACATTGTCCCTAGCTTCCTGGTACAATGCTCGGACACGAGAGGCACCAACACCAACATATATCTCAACAAACTGAGAAGCAGAAATAGAGAAGAAGTTCACTCCAGCTTCACCAGCTACAGCTTTAGCTAGTAACGTCTTCCCCACACCAGGAGGCCCACATAACAGAATACCACCTGAAAGAAAACACACAATATTAAAAAGAAAAAAAACATAGGTTATATAAAACTTTATAACCAAATTGTCACAACATCCAAACCTGGAATCTTGACTCCTCTCCTACGATACATCTCTCCATGAGTGAAAAACTTAACAATCTCCTCAAGCTCAAGACGAATCTTCCCAAGTCCAGCAACATCTGTAAACTTCACATCCACACCTCTCTCAAGATACTCAGGCAGCCTCTTATTCGAAGCTCTTCTCACACGTGCTCCTGACTTCATGAACTGCTTAGCCATCTGTAGATAAGGATTCTTCTCACCAGTTCCTCCTTCCTCACCCTCCTCACCATCATCATCTCCAACCTCAACTCCCTCCATCTCCCTCTCCAACTCCCTCATCTTCTTCCTCTCATCCGCCTCCGATTTCTCAATCTTCAACCTATCGTCATAATCCTTCTTCTGCTTCCTATAGTTAAGCACAACCACACGGTAAAAGATATAAAAAAAGACCAAACCAAGAGCTGTCGCCACGTTAGGATCCTCAGCCAATCTCGCCCACATTAGCCCCATATCTCTATAGTTCCTCCTCGCTTCAACCAAACTCTCTTCATACTTCTTCTTCCTAAGCGCTTTCCTCTTCTTCCTCTCCTGCTGTTTCTTCTGCGCCCTCATTGTCTTCTCCATCACCTCCCTCTCCTCTCTCATCATCTCCATCTCCTCCTTCCTCTGCCTCTTGAAATCCTCCCTCATCTTCCTCAACTCCGCCGCACGTTTCGACTCCTTCTTGGGCTTAACCAACGTCAACATATAAGAAGGCACTTTCCATAAGAACCCTAAGTAAGGAGTGGGAACAGGAGGCTTCTTAACAGGTGGTGAGTAAGCGTTGACACATGCCTTCTCAATCCCTAACTCATCCCATTTCTCCCAAAATCTTTTGTTACCGTCTAAAGAAGGTAACACAGTTCTTAACACTTGAGAGTCTTCTAAGACTACTAACACGGGTTCTGACTTTTGTTTCAAGGGTGAAGAGGAAGGCTTTATTACGTGTTTGAGTTTACCTTGGGATTTTAAGGTTAAGAGGTCTGTGTAAGGTATGCGTTTGGAGACTACAGGGAGGTCTTTGGACCAGGAATTGAGTTGTTCGAGAGTTAAAGCTTCTTGAGGTTTCTTCTGGCTTCTCTTCCTCTCTGATACTTTCTTCTTCTCGGCGGATACGGCGAGGGAGGGTTGAGGTAGAGAAGTGGAGATTATGGTGAGTGTGATTGGTATTGTTGTGAGGAGATTGATTTTGTTTGTTTTGTGGTTTTCTTCGTCTTCGTTTTGAGGATTGTTTGTGGGTGAAGTGTTATGGCATGAGATTGAGGTTAATCTTAAGGTTCTTGGGTGGTTTGTTGAGGGAGAGAGGAATTGAGAGTGTGGAGATGAATGTAGAGGGAAACGATAGGCCATGGTGTAATTTGATTAAGGTGGAAATGAGCTTCACTTACATGAAGAAGACGAAGTGAATTCGCAACTCAGAGGACAGAGATTCGTGCCTCATTGCCCAGGCAAGAGGATAGAAGAAGCGGACAGAACATAGAACTACTTTAGATCTTAAAAAGCCTATTAACATTAAGAAAGGCCCATTTATCTCTCCAAAATTAGGCCCATTACTAGCTCTCAAATTAATTTTCCAGTCCAGACGCTATAGAATGCGTTCTCAAATCGGAACGCGGAAATTTTGACGTTTTTTTTATTTATTTCGTGGTTGCTTTTGAATAATTTAAAGAATTTGTTGAAGCAATTTTTGTCGTTTATATGTGACTCGGTCAACAAAATTCAAAAACTTTGGAATTGGAAGATTCGCTGACATCGTTTGAAACAAACAAATTCCAAAATAAAACATCCATAACAACAACACATGATTATTGTATGATGATAAAACATCATTACAATAATTAGACGCAAAAGGACAAGGGTAAACACAGTAATAATTCTCTACTGGTAGCGTGAGAGACTAAGAACGTCGAGAATAGAAGAAGCAGCGAGGAGGAGAAACGCGAACAAGGCGAAGACGACGGATATTGCGAGATGGTCACAGAAGAAACCTAGAGATTTGCAGAAATTGGGAAGAGGCATGTGTCTGATTCCTGTTCTGTTCATATTCGTCACTCCTAGAGCCGCTGATCCTCCACTCACCATCGCATATCCCAATATCTGATCAGCAACGAAGCAAAACCATGCTTGTGTTCTTGTAGGAATCACCGGAGATCTTCTCCATAGTCTTGTCCCGCTTATAACCAGTTGCAGTAATGAGTAAATAACCGTCGCGGATGAAACCACCACTAGGTATCTGTAACATTAACGACCATTCTCGTGATTGTTACAGTCAGTTATATAATGTAATGTATCGTGTGTGATTATGAAGTGGGCTTACATGAGGGAATCTGAGAGAGACCAAACGGCGTTGAGCTGAAACTCGAAACCGTAGAGAGTGGTCATGCTAGTCTCACGTGCTGTCACCATTAACGACACAGACACCGCAGATGCAGCCATGCACATGGCTCGTAACATAAACATTGCCACGTCAATGCGTCTGCCGCCGTGACGGCTATCCTCTCCGTATGTGGTGGCTGTGGTGACCACATCACGAATATCAAGCTTCGTGACTTCCACAGTATGAGAGTCTTGTTTCTGCTCTGTTGCTTTCGCCATTGCCTCTCGTATAGTCAAAACTACTCATACTAGCCAAGGGGTATATAAACACACATGCTGGATACGTGGCTAGTTTATACTGGAAGCTCAAAAACACTGCCCGTGAGGCTTCTCAGGGCCTATGTAATCAGTGTCTTTCAAAGTATTTGCAATGGTGGTCGCTCTGCACGAGGCATGACCTCTGTCTGCTCAGATACAAACAAAAATAAACTGCTACAAAAATGAATTTTTAAAATCAGATTTATGCCAATCATAGCTGTCGTCAATACAAAGACCATTTTGAAACACCTCTTACAATTTGAAACCACGCTCTGAATTTACTTAACCACTCACTGCCCACAAAAAAAAAAAAAAACTTCAACTTAACTGTGTAAGCTTTTAAACACCGAACATCAAGTCAACGAACTTTGAGACCACCGACTTTGATGGAACGGCCATGGCGCCACCGTTTGGTTGAGGGGAGAAGGCGCTTCCGTTTTGCAAGTAGTGAGGACGAGAAGAGGCTCCCCTAGCTGTGTTAAACTCGGTTTCTCTAGTTGATGATGGTGGAGGTAAAGGCATGAATCCTTGGTTGTTCAGCCTTTCGTTTAAGGCTTGCCTCTGTATTGGGTCTACTGGCTTTACTCCTACTATTATCACTCCGTTAATCGTCATCCCGGTTTTGCTCAGAGCCTTCTGTGCGTCGGACCGGTTCTGCAGTATCAAACACCCAAAACATTATTACTTTCTTCCATTAGTTCGATTCATTCAGAAGATTTATCTTAATGAAGTAAAAAGGCTAGAAGAGTAACCTGATAGAGGATGTGCATCCAGTTGGCATTCCTTGGACCAGGAACATGTTTCACGATCATCCCACACTTTTCAAACTCTCTTAGTACCAAATTTGTATCACTTGGAGAAAATCTGAAAGCAGTTAGTTTCTAAGATCAGCTAGCTCCTCGGATCAAAAAAACAGTGGGTGACAGACACAAGAATACAAGATAATCTACTAAATAACACTAACAGTATCACCCATGTAAAGAGACAGAATTAACACTACTCAAAAGTAAAATCACAATCAAAGGCTGAGCCATATCTGACTAATGAATAGCATAATCCAAGCACCTAGAGTTACATAGACAGATAAAGGATGGCAAATAAAGAGCGTAAACAGCAACAGTTTCTATGAGTAGTTCTCTAACACCGAAGATAAGGCAATTGATAACACTACCAATACACCAGGTATACAAAGAAATAGAAGCATTTTAAAACAACAAAGCAATGAAACCTTGAATGAACTTACCCATAGACAGTAACCCACTCCTCCTCTTGAACATTCCCCGTGGGTATAACCTGCCTCTGAACCTCAGGCCTAGCAACTTCCCTCGGCGGCGGAAGAGTAACCAAAGCACCAGGCTGAACCACACCTTCAACGGGAGACCCTTTCCCTTTATCCTCCTGCTCAGCACTACTACCACCTCCTCCCTTCGCCTGCGACGACCACCAACTCGGACTCCCTGACACTTGCTGACTCTGTTGCCCACTCAGCAGCGAAAAAGACGAACTTGCCTCCAACTTCCCTTTACCAGGAGTCACAACGTTCTTCCCAGAGCTCTGAGAAGGCGTCGTCCGTCTCTCGGATTTAACATCCGGAGAGGCGGAGTAGTCTGCAATGCCAGACTCAGGAGAGAAATCTGAGCGGTCGTCGAGAGTATACATCGGTGGAGGTGGAAGATCCGAGGCTCCGAGATTCTCGCGCCATAGTGCGGAGACGGCAGCTGCTTGCCCCGGGGTTGAGAATTTTCCGCGGCGTGCGGAGACGGGAGAAGCTAAGTCTTGGAAGAGGAGAGATTGTCTTCCTGTTTTAGGTGTCCTGTGAGCACTCATGATGATGACTACTACTTAACAGAAACAGAGTCTTTCTTAAACTATCTTCCTGCAAAGGCAACAACTTGGTTAACAAAACGTCATTAACAGCAATTAAGGACTCTAATCTACGCCGTTAGATCAAAAAATGTTATAGTTAACGGAGTGTTCGTTACAAACAGAAGCTAACGTTGCTCGCAGAATGGATGAATTCTAGAAATGTAAATCACTGAATATAATAAGCTTACTACAAGAGCATAAGTTAAAGGAAACCATCTAAAGCTAGCGACTGAGAAGGCAGTGAGATTCACGCTACTAATCGAAAACGTCAACGATTAAGAACAATCATACTATTGGATGGATCGATAGATGGAGAAATAGAAACCTGAAGATGGAGACGGTGGCGGTGGAGTTTTCCGATCTGGGAATCTCGGAAAAGCTCAGCTCGCGAGCTCAAAGGGGGAGCGGAGGGAAGGAATTAAAACCCTAAGAGAAGAGCCAACAAACTCACAATAATAATAAAATTCAAGAGCATTCGGAAATGACGAGAATAGCCTCGCGCTTAAACAACTCCCGCAGCATCATATGGGCTAAACACTAAACATGGGCTTAATTGGGCCCACCCGTTTTTCTTTATAAAGTAAAAATGTTAAAATGAGTAAAATAACCCACCTCCGCCCAACCCACAAAAAAACCGACCCAGTTTATACCCTATCCGCAAAAATCCAGAAACATCAAGGTTAAATTAAAACCCAAAAAATAACTCAATAGGATATAGGTTAACCCATGAGTACCTAATATTATTTTATTTATTCTAAAGAGATTATGCAAAATTTATTTTCCTAGAAACTAGTTTTTCCAATATGACCGGAAACTCATTTTCCGGTTTTGGCGAGAAAACGCAGTTTTGATTTTTTCGAAAAAACTCGATTTGTTAAGATTTTTTCTTGCAGAAAACTCATTTTATGAAAAATGCGGTTTTGCGGAAAACACGTATTGGCGGGAAACACGTTTTTCGGTTTTGGTGGGAAAACACATTTTCGCGGTTTTGGCGGGAAAACACGTTTTGGTGGAAAAACTCATTTTTGCGGTTTTAGCAAAAAAACACGTTTTCCGATTTTGGTGAGAAACTCATTTTTGCGGTTTTGGCGAGAAAACACATTTTTGCAGGTTTGGCGGGAAATCACGTTTTTCGGTTTTGGCGAAAACACGTTTTTCTGGTTTTGATGGGAAACTCGTTTTTGGATTTTGATGGGAAAACTCATTTTTCTGATTTTGGCGTAAAACACGCTTTTCCGATTTTGGCGAAAAAATTCGTTTTACAGTTCTGATGGATAAATTCATTTTTTTTAGTTTGGTCAGAAAAAAACAAAATTAGGCTTTATTTAAAAAATTAAAACAAAAGATATTAAAATAGTGAAAAATATAATGTTATAAAATTAAAACCTATGGGTATCCATTGCCCTTTTGTATTTACCCAATCTAATATGGATTTTAAAATTTTCACTACAAGAAAACAAAGCATTTACTAGGAAATTTTACTAGGAAAATTCTTCCTTGTAAATTTACTAAGCCTTTACTAGGATCTTACGAGGAAAGCAAATTTCCTCGTAAGTTCCTCGAAAACTTACGAGGAAACACTTTCCTCGTAAGACCTTAGTACATTTACGAGGAGATTACGAGGAAAAAGTACTTTTCCTCGTAAGGCCGTTGTAAACCCTTTCCTCGTAAAGGCGTAGTAAAATATTACTACGAAAT